GTTACACATGAATGCAGGAAAGAGTTCATAAGTTAACAAACCTCTTTCAAATCAGAGAAATCGGCCACAACGTAGTCAATATTCGAGTGATCAGGCAATTTGTTCTCTCGTACAATGTAATCGACCGTTGATTCGCATTTCTCGGCACTTCTTCCGTGTACAATGACGAAGTTCTCGTTCTGGAATAGTAAAATCACTGAGCTGTTCATTTTGATTGAAAGATTGGTTCGTGACTGAAGAGTAAGTAAAATGTGACCACTAACATGCCGAGCAGCAAGCTCAAGCGCAGTCTGTCGACCGATTCCATCGGTTGATCCAGTTATCAAAACGGTTCTCTTGAAATTATGCACATTACCATTGGTGGCCATTATATACCCCTCTGAAAACACACACATTATTTCATAATTTCAGCAGTCGATTCGATAGTCGATGAGCTCACTCACGTTATACGCGAAATTTCACGATGACTTTCAAGCGGCTAGAAATTTTCTCGCACATAAACTTGCGACAGTCTTAAACAATCGAGGAATGCTCTAAATTTTGGTCAGAATAAGTATAATTTCAAGTGGTGATACGACGACACTATTGCATTCGAGAGGGATCAACGGGACATTTTCGCTACAGTGAAAAGTCATTGACGAGGCGATTTCTTACCGAAACGAAAGTAACGTGAGTGATGACGGTGAGTCGAAGACGGACTCAAATTGTTGGGGATTTTGGTCAGGAGCGAGTAGGGAGACGCAACCGAAAAACGTTTAGTTAAAAGGTAGGAATGAAATTGATGACCCGTTCGATGTGGTAGGTGTGCATTACGAATCAGTATGCAATCATCAATTTTCTTGCGTCATTCCTCAAATTGATAGCGCTCTTTTTTTTTGCGATAGCAAACTGAAGATATTGAATCTTTCATTTCCGGCTCTTAAAGGAATCCAAAATCAATACGAAACGTTTACGGTGAAATATATCTCACCAGTTCATATGGTGGGTTTCAAATGGACTCATGAGAAAAAGTAGTATGCAAAGCAAATAACCACGCACTGACGCGCTCAATGCATCCGAAAAACTATTTGCTCACTGAGGAAGGAAATCAATCGAGCTCTTTCACGAAAAAAAGCTCTTTCCGATACGAAAACTCCATGGATTCAACGTTTACAGAAAAAAAACCGCTGAACCTCAGAAAAAAGGTAAAATTCTTCGAAATTTTAGACTGTAAACAAACATGAAATTAATACGAACAGGAGCAAAAGTGACGCAGTGCACTAGACTTTTAAACTTCAATTAAGAATTCAACAACGAAATTCGATTTTATTTGATGCAAAAGATGGATTGCTTTCAATCAAAGACACTAGCAGCGCTCTTCATGGAACCCAGGCATCCAATGAACAACACAAGGTGACATGAATGTACTTATATCCTAGCTAATGATTCTTTCCAACAATTGTAATTGATTACCAATCTGAGAAAATGGATTAAATTATACTTAATCCAACTACAATGAACCGCTGTGAATTTGATTCCACTTAAAAGAAAAAGCCAAATGAGATGATGGAATTAAAGCGATGAAACGAGTGAACTGTTTACGTTCTGATCTCTATAGAGCAACCAATGAACCAATATCCGTTCATCTAAATAATAGTGTAGAAAATATTCGTAATCTGCTGTGACGAGGCTCTTAACAAATTTATGTTCATAATTTAGCAATTTATACCAGTGTAGACGTTTACTTTGTGACGTTTCTCTTGAATATGTGTGATTCAAAACAAATGTTTTGAATGACGAGCGAATTCTGTCTGGCCTATGAAAACAATCTTCGATCACGTCATTAGCAAGAATTTGCAACTCCTTTCTAGAATTTCACAACTGAGGTTGACTGAAATTTGATATGCGCTGAATGATGGTATGATTTGTTATGGCTGTCATTGTTCTGGTTTTTCTCATTAGAAGTTTGCTTGAATGAACCCCTCAAATGAATCATTCAATTTTGCGACTGAAAATAAATCGAATGCTGTCTGACATTTCATAAGCATGCGCCCTTTCAACAAGCACATAACCATTATTTATGAATACTCTCACACAGACAAAAATTATTTCAAATTGACTGCTTTTGACAACCGCTGAATAGTTTCACTGATTTTTTGAATGACGAGCGAAAAATGGTGGCATTTCACTTCTGCTTTCGATGCAAGGAAGTTAGTTAAAAATGAAGTTTCCAGCGATAAATACGTTGGAAATTGCCAACGTTTCCTTAGTAGCTGTTGTATGAATTGCTATTCAACAACATTTCCCTGTGATTATGAATAATATTTCTAAAGCTGCATTCAAGAGTCCTTATGATACAGAACATTGAAATATCGTATAGCTGTTGTTTAAAAGCATGATGAATCGACATCAGCTCTCGACATGAGTTGACCAATATCACAGGAAATTCTTAGGTACGATTGCGAAGATAATAATCCCTTACGCAGTCAGGCAGTAAACAGACGACCCAAATTTTCACTGATGTTGAAGTGATGGAGGCGTATCGTGAGGAGATGGGAGGGGAGTTTACTCAAACAAACATTATGAAAGAAAATAAACAATAGGAACTGAGTGTTCCATAATTCAACCTACAATAATTTCTATCACCTCGTCAAGTCTCTGATGCGAACATTTCATTTCTTTGTCTACTGACTGGATTGTGACGAATGAGGTGAGCAGCAGCAGCAGCAGACAATAGAGGATGAATTGGGCATATTGCTGCTGCAATCAACACGATGAACGTGTTGGGATAATTCTGAGACTCTTCAGACATGTTTACGTTGAAACTCTTCAGTTTCAATTTCCCTATGGAATAGCGAACGATTCTTCAGTGATTAACACTAATATGCTATAATGCAAGGCGACAGCAGCACAACAACAATTTACGAAACAAACATAAAGATATATTGCATGGTTGAATGAACTGAAAATCAAAAAATAACCTCACCAGAGAACCGTCTGTTTAACGAGAAAGCAAAAAATACGCAAAAAGTACGGAAGAAATCTCGCCGTCAAATGTT